AAATTTAAAATATTTTAGTAAGATCAGGCCAGGCCTGCTTCGCCTAAATATCGACTTCCTTTTTGGATTCAACTTCCTCGAAATCCTACCAATTTAAAATTTTTTTTTTGGAAATTTCATTAAATTCAAATTTTATTTATTTTACTTCATTTCAAAATTAAAAAAAAATATCTAAGAAAACAAAACATTACAAACAATTTCAAATGAATAAAAAATTTCAAATTAAAATGAGATTTTCGGCATCGTTGGAAAATGTAAAACAAGTTGCAACAACTTATTTAAAAATAAAGTAAATAAATACTAAAATTTGACAAGGAATTGTGGACAGTACCTTGATGTATTGTTCACCACAGCGTAAACTGAGGCGACATAATATGAGGAACAACCGCCCATAGAGGAAACAAACAGATTTTATATTTATGACATGTTGCTGAAAGAAACAACAATGAATTTTATACTTCGGGGTTCAGCTTAAACTTGTACTTTTAATATCATTCATTTGAAATATCATTAGTCAGACCTTAATTAGATCTATCTAATGTTAGATTTTAAGCTTGATTTGTTATTAGGTATATTATAACATATATATATACAGGTATATGAACAAAAATACATATTATTCATTATAACATGAAATATAAATAACAAAAAGGTTAAGAGTAGCAAAACCATTTGTAATGTAACAACAGAAAAAAAAGGTAAATTCAAATAGGTACCTAGTGTATTTTTGTATAAAGCTGTCGGTCATGGAATATTTTCAGTAAAACAAAAAAAATTGATTTTATTTTAATTTCTTAATTTAATTTTTATTTTGTTTTTTTGGTGTAATAACAATTTTTTTTTTTCATAAACATTATCGAATGTTTTTTGTAGCATTTTTAACTTTCGAAAACTTTATAATATAGGTATATAGTAATTATTTCATAATATTTCAGAAAATTTAATTTAGTAGTTCTGTTACTGAGCCAAATTATTTTAATAGTTTCGATAATTAAGAGTTTATTTGTAAATAAATGTCAGCAAATAAATATGCCTGTACATACATTTATTTTAATACAAGAATCTAATACTTAGTCATAACCATAATAATTTTCAATACCGAAAATATTGATAATATCATAAAGTGATTGTTATTTAATTTTTGACAACGAAAAAAAAAATTTCACTTGCTTAAACTAAAATAATGATGAAAAAGTGTAGTTACATAAATGCCCACATATTTATAATAAAATAAACTAACAATTCTTAGGCGCCCCAAATTTTAAATGCTCTGATTTTGTTTTGATCTGGAAACTCTGATTGTAATTTGAGATTCTTAATCAACAATAAAACGTCACTTACAATTGATAATTAGAATATTTGATGAATATGCCAATTGTGGGTAGAAAGAATAGAATATGCAAATTGTGGGTAGAAAGTAAGAGGCATTTTTTTTCAGGCTATTTCATTGTGGTACTACTTATGGGTAGCTCTTTGACTATATGTTTAATTATTTACCTACTATTTTGAAAATATTCTTGAATATTTAAAACAAAAATTTAAAACTATTTTGTATGTAATTAATTATTATTTAAATTTTTTTCTAACATACGTACATACATACATATATATGTTCATAATTATTTCTATTTCAAAAAAATTTATTTAATATTTTAGCAAAACATTTAGTGTACATGTTTAATATCGTAAAAAAATTTACCTATAAAAAGTAAGAGGCATTTTTTTTCAGGTTATTTCATTGCCATATTTATAAATACACAATATCCACATAGCAACAAAATATATATATATAACTTTACAATCGTGTTAGGTAATTTTATAATTTAAAAAAAAAAATAAGAAAAATAAAAATGTTTTGGTAATTATTTCCGTAATTAAAAGCATTTGTTAAAAAAAAAAAACAATATTTTTATTTTTCATTTTGTCATAATTAGCACCTTATGAGAAAATCATTAATATCTTAAATTAAATCAAAATTAAATCAAAATCAAATAATATTTTACTCAATTTTAAGTATAACTTTTTATCATTATTAATATTGTATACTATTTTCTTGTGAACCGAACCCTAGACGTGCTCATTCGAAAAATAAATGAGGAACACAAGCAAGTAAATTTGTAAATTACAAATAATTTTAATAAATATTTATTATGAAAAAAAAAAGCTTCAACAAAGGTATACAAGTTAGGTCACATATCAAAATATTAGAAATTCTTAAACGCAATACTGCAAAAAACACTAACTGCGAAACACAATACTACCAGCTCCCAATGTGTTGTATATGCAATATATTTTTGACTGTTCTATATAAAATTAAAACAGCTCATACGATTTAGCACCGCCAGTCATTCTAATTTCTCTATAGGTAGTATTCCGAATATTTATTAACAAACTATTTATAACAAACTGGATTTAAGCAAGATTTGTTTATCAATTCAAATATACTGCATTTTTTGCTAATATATACCGTAATAATGAAAAGGCTAATGTCAAAAGTAAATTTGTTGTAATATTTTTAAAAAAAATTTCTATTTACTAGACAATACAAAGATTATAACAATGTTTGCCTATAACGATACGTTTTACCTGAATTTTTTAATGTAGGTATTTGCCGGCTTTGTTTTATTAAAAATGTACAAAACATAATTTATTTAATATTCCAAAAATACTTTGGACAAACAAAATTTAAATCCTAAAATTTCTCAATAACATTCTAAAGTTTAAGATAAAAAAAAAAAATGAGATTTTAAACTCCATTTGATTAAAAACAGAATTACTAGGTACATACATAGATTGTAAATTAAAAAAAAAATGCATAAAAACATTCAATCATTAAATTAAATTCATAAATTTTTTTTTTCTGTATTTAATTTTAATTTTGCCTCTTACTTCCAATTTTTTTTTTTTTGGTTTAGTCAAATTTATATTTTATATTCCTACACATTATTTACATTGCATATGCAACCCAATTATAAATATGTAAATATATAAAAATATATCTATATATACATATACATGGTATATAGAATATACATTGTGTGTGGTGTATATATAAAATCTTACATTAAACTAACTTTCGTAAACCTTTCCCCTGCATATTCATTTATAACATAAGTAGTATATAAAATAAAAGAAAAAAAACATCTGTTCCTTACATTTGTGTTAAAAATAGTTAAATTTATATACAAGGAAACTCATATATATATATATATATTATTTGTGTAATATAAAGAAATCCATTCACCACACACAATTCAAACTCAACACAACACATATGCTATTGCACAAATACAATCAAATGTAAAACAGAGAGTATAAGTGTTGTTAAATTAAAACCAGTGATGGGATAGGTACATATAAAAATAAATACAACAAAGAGTTACAAGTACTCACTAAGTACTTTTCGTACAAGTACTAAGTACTTTTTATTAAATTATATATTTTTATTTCTATATAAAATTTAGAAATTAGACACATTTTCCTTTATTTTGGAAACATTGTGCAGATATATATGTATATATATATGTAGATAGAATACAATAAATAATATAATAATATATAGAATAATTGAGCAAGCACATGTTATGTTTAGAAACTTCACTCATATATAATAATAGAAATTTAATACTGTGCAAATATTAAATACAAATTAAGTAAAAATTGCTGTCTGGGCCCTTAGGATTTTATATCCGACCTACATATTAACCTACATATTATTTACTATTGTTAATACATATTTCGTTATATTTACAATAAATGGACATAGATATGTATGTCCATAATATAATGTTCATCACTGTGCATATTTCACAGCTGTTAAAATTTTGTTACATTATATAAATCAAAATTTACTAGATACATACATATGTATATACTATGTATTCGAATAAACAGTATTTTAAGATTTAAATTTAAAGAACATAAATACACAGTGTTACATAAGGAATAAATGAGTGCACATTATTTCATAAAAAAACGCACTTATATTTCTTTAAAAAAATACAATTGTCCGTCCAGTCTTTATTTTTCATTTATTACCGACATATGTAGTTAATAAAAAAAAAAAATTTAAGATGGGAAGAGAAGAGAAATAAAAAAAAAAATAAACTAAACCAAAAATATGAAGAGAGCAAGAGAGAGAAGAGAATGTTTTTTTAATAAACAATTTACGAAAAAAAAAAAAAACACAAAAATATTATTAACAAGACGGAGAAATATTGATGATTTGAATGTACAGTTTACTGTACGCTTTTTTTTAAACACAATATTACATACTTATTTTTATACCATCAACTATACAGAAAAAAAAAAAACACATACTTGGTTCGTTCAGGGTCGCCCCAATCGACCAAGCCTATCGTTGTTTCTTTTTTTTTTGTTTCTTTTATTGTTTCCTCTCATTTTCATTCTTTTTATTTTTACAATTTTAATATGTGCTTTAAAACAATATATATATATATATATATATATATATATATATACAAATTTTTTGTAATAATCGCTGCAACATTCCCTTTTTCTTTTTTTCTTAAACAAGAAAAGAAAAAAGACAAAATTTAAAAGTTTTAAAATGCAGGTTTACAGCATTTTATATTTTGAACAATTTTAATGCATATTATAACACATACATACATATATAATACAAACACATGTATACTAAATATTGACTTTAAACACATTCATACATACAAAAATGGTATTCAAATTGAAAAAAACAACAAAAAAAAAAAAACAGTAAATGCGAGGTGAGAAATAATTTAAGTGCTTGTTTAAAAAAATTTTAAATTTGACTTCGACTTCGGCTTAGTAGTACATTCGTTGGAGTTTTTTTTTGATAATGCCATCTGCCCAAAATTATTTCTTAATTATTATAAGTATGCCTTGGCCATACTTTTATATGTGTGGTAACTGCATGAAAGCGCTTAAAACTCTTTTTGTTCTCAATAATTTAGAAAATTTCCTTTTTATAAAAAATAAAATATCCTGTTTTATTTGCTTACCTTTTCTTTGCTAATTCCATTTATGCAATTAAATTAAAAATTTATAATCCAAAATTTAAAAAAATGAATTTCCCCTTTTTTTTCTTTATGAGAAAAGCCACCACAATACAAGGTTTTACGAGATAAAAAAATTATATCCGTTGATTTAAAAAAAAATTCCCTTCTTTTTTTTTCTCTCTCTCTTGTTCAAAATTTGTAAAATATAAATTTATTTTTTAATCAAAAAAACACAATCATAAAATTATTTAAACTTTATTTTTTCCTACTGGTTTTTTTTTTTTAAATTTTTAAATATTTTGTTACTTCCCCCATTTTTTCTTTCTTTACCAATTTTTTTTTCTTAATTATTGATTTTTTTCCACAATATTTTTTTTTTTGTAAAAAGTGCTCATTTTGTGTGTTCGTTCAACTTCTTCTTAATTTTAAAAATTTTTTTTCTCTTTCCTTCAATTTTATTGTGTTTTACAAAATTAATTTTTTTTTTTATTTTCGATTAATTAATTTCAATTAAAAATAATTTGTTTTACGATATTAAATTTAATAAAATAAGATTTTTTTTCGATAATTTTTTTTTTTTAAACATAAAGAGTATTGAATTTTATTTGAAATTAAAAAAAAAAAAATTTATATAAAAATTAAATTTTTAAAAAACATGAATTTAATTTTACACACTACTCTTTACAACACAAAAGAAAAATAACAAAAGAAAAAAAAATTAATTTCCAATCTGAAATGAACTGAACACAATAATATTTAACTGTCACTCTCCGTTGTACGCACGAAGACTGAGTAAAAATAATGTGTAAAATTTTTTTAGGCGGCTTCTTCCAATTATTTTTTTTTTATTTTTTCTTTTCTTCTTGCTTTTAATAAACATAGCGTTTGGTAAATAAAATAAAATGTGTGTGTGTATGAGTAAATATGTGTACGTATTTGTTTATATACATAGTAGATATTATTTAGCAACATTCAAATACATTAATTATGTGTTATAGAAATATACTAAACCCAAACAGAAAATATACATTATATACGTTCGCTATTCTCCACTCCACAATTTTATGTTGATAAATAACAAAAAAAACAAAAAAGGAAAACAAGAAACAACTAATATTTATGCCGTTGTGTTGTGTTGCTTTTAATAATTGTTCAGCAATATTTATTACAAAATAACAGTGATGCTACTAAAATAAATGTAACATACTACAAATTTTAGTACATTTTATTGATTGATGGGTACTACTATACTTTTTCAATTCGTTTATAATTTTTGTCGTTGTTTTCTAAATATTCAAAAATATATTATATAAAAAATTACAATATTCAATACACTAGCTACTTAAATTATAAAATATTCTGCAAAAATCAATAATTCATATTAATTATAAAATATAATAATCTTTGCATAAATGTATAAATTTTCATATTAACATTGTGTTTATAGTGAAATACAGAAGACAATTTTTGTAATTACACACACGAACTAATTTTTTTCTGAGTGGCGCTATTAAATATTAAATTTTTATTTTGAATAACACCACTATAAATTATATAAACAATAATATTATCAATAGAATTACGTCATAAAAAAAAGTACATTTTACAAATTTCAAGTACAATCTACAAATATTTGATAACTAACTCCATAATATTATTTTGTATATTTTAATATATAAATGTAAGAGTAATGTAAATGTGTTGGTAAATGTATATAATAAACTTCGCTTTCAATATGGCTATTATATACCTATATATGTAAATATACGTATATATATTTTATGCATGCATATGTAACATATATTTTGTTTTAGTAGTGAAAACGATCTCCTTCCGCACTTTATATATACATATATGTAATTATAATACTATAAATTTTTTTTCTAAATGGGAAACAGATAAAGTGACCAGATGCTTTTTATTAAATAAATGTACTAATGGTAATATATCTATTTCAATTAATATTTAATATTTCTATTTCATAAAAAATATTTTTTAATTATATTCGTGTATGCATTTAATAATTTTATTGAGAATTGTTGCTGCTGGCTCCATAATTCTGAGTTGTTTCGACTAATAAGGTCAATTTATGTATTTATATTATTAAATGATAATAAATTATCAGTTTTTCAATCACAATTAGACTAATTTTACGTTTAGACTTAATTTAATGACAAAAGTTTATGGTCTTATAGCAATACAGTAAATGTTTCCGAAAAAAAATTTTTTTATGGTTTATGATTGATGACAGATTATACGTGATTACTAATTTGAAAAAAAAAATAATGCAATAGCAATAAACAAAAATTTTAAATAAATATTATTAAATAATTGTCGTCACGTCTTATTCGTATGCAATGAGCATTTTTTGTCACATGAATATCAAAATTTACCCATATAACATTGCATATGTATAAAATAACAAAGTCGTTTATATATTAAATAAAAAAACAACAAGCCCTCAAAACAAGCTTTATAAAATAGTGAAAATTGTTAAATAATGTTGATTTTGTAGAAGTTATAAAAATATATTACATACTTATAAAAAAAATATTTGCAGAAGTTATATAGTATGTTGCACTCTTATATTTTGTAATACTTACTATATTGTTCTCATTTTTCATATTATAAATTTGAACTAAGTACATAATCCCTATAGTATAGTTAATATCGTAATTGTGTGAATGTTAATTGAATATGCATGTTTGTATATATGTTAATATTATTATATATACATAGGTTTTGTATTCGTATATGTATAAATAAAAAAAAATATTTATATATAAAGCCACACATTTGCGTTGAAATATATTTAGGTACATGAGGTAATATGACCCCACTACTACAAATAATGAATATTATTACTCCATTCGAAATTATACCATCAATTTTTGCAGTATTATGCTTTGTAAATATGACCTTTAAATAATAATAATAATGTATACAATGTTATGTTTATACAGGGTGATTCATTTCTTTACAAAGTGTGTAAGAAAATATCAACGTTTTTAATGAACGTTAATGTGTTTACATAAGTAAATGTGCTTATATTTTTGTACTTATCGGCCACTTGTGAAAATAATGACATAGAACGAGATATTTTTTATCATATTTATGTTAAGTAAACTTATATTCAAAAATTTTGAACAGTAAATAGCGAAACTGAATATTGTTAATATTTTAAAATTGGTTTCAGTAATGGTTCTTCACATCAGTTATTAAGAATAGAATTAAATGTTCTCTAGTAACATTATATATTATTTCTTTTTTGTTTTGCTAAACGTCATTCTACTAAATGTCAAGTGATTTTATTTATTTATATTTTTTTTTTCAAAATTTTAAACATTGAAAATTTGACAATAAGTTTTTGGTCAATGTTTGAACAAACTCCCTCTCGTACATTAAACGCTCTTTAAAGTTGTCATAAGTTAAAAGTGTATTGACCGATTACCCAAAAGTAATTTAATAGATGTAACAACAAACAAACCAAAATCGATAATTTATGTGACGCACTTGTCCTTACAATTTTCTGCAAGCGAATTCTTAAATTAATATGCATACCATCTTATTGTACATTCATATGAACATTTTTTGGTATATGGCGCATGTTAAATTATGTATTGTAAAGAAAAAGATTTAAGAGAGATATAAAAGCAACAGTTTTAAAACACCTTTAAGAATTATACGTGTAGATACCATTTAAGTTGATTCGGTTCTTAAAAAACTTAAGTTCAAATAGTATATATGTACATACATGATATATTTGAGTTTGTATAAGAAAAACATACATGTACACATTCCAGTTTCTACATACATTATCATGTCTGTATAAGTATTCTTATAATTGAATGTTTGTATTATTAACTGTATAGATAAGAAAATCCCAAAAAGTTGCATCACCTGCTATGCTTTTTCTTTATTATTAAGATGCACCTTTAGTGTACAAAATAATTATAAACCCTTAAATACATTCACATTAACATAGGTATAAATTTTTTGTAAATTATTTATAAAAATTGTATACCCAAAAAATTATTCTGTACATTCTTACATGTACATAAATGCAATTATAATGTATGAGCATAAGTATACACAATCTTCATCTATATAATCTGTGTGTCTAAAGAAATTCGATTTAATATTTGTAACGAAATATATTTAATATTTGTAACTAATTTATTTGTAATTGAATAAGAGCATTAAAAGCATTAAAGGACTAAATATAAAAGAGGTTCAAATTCATTGAAATTATTTACCAATAATAAAATTTTATTGCATACATTTAGGAGAAATATAATTTGCAATAGTATACTATCAAATTGAACTACTTGCAATGTTCGTTCAGAAATGTAATCTTAGGTTTAAACGCGTGATTTACTTTTCCCAATTTATAAATTTACAGTAAAAATGATCGATTCAAGTAAAATTCGTTTGGCAATAATATCGTACTTTCAGTTAAATTTATAAATTGGGTATGTATATCATAACATAACTAAATCCTATAATATATCATTGCATATGTAAATTACATTTCTTCTTGGAATCGTCTCATATTGGTACATAAATGTTCCATCACCAAAATTTTTGAGTTAAACTTTAGCATTTCTTCTTATTTTTCAAGTGCAATATGTACATTCACATTGCGTAAATATTAGAAATTAAATTATGAACCTACACAATGAATTTTTATGTATGTATGTGTGTATTCAAAATCGAGGATAAAGTGCGTGCACAAAGAATAAAAATGATAATATCTGAATTCACACATTGAAATGGTTATGAATAAAGAATCAACACTTTTTTTTTTCAAAGTTCACCTGCCCCCTATATGTTATTGTACAAGTACAATATAGATATACATACCCTACTAATTTAGTATGTGCTATAAAACATACTAAATTAGTAGGGTATGTGAGCAAACAAGCGTAATAAATTTTATCTTATATTTTTGTAAAATGTTTAGTTTTTACCGTGTAATAAAATGTGAGCATAATTAATTTTAACATATTATAAAACAAAGAATATAAAATAATAATAGTGTTAAAAAAATAGAGTTAGAAAATCGTTTAAATCTAGGGTTAGAACCACAAAAATTTATAGATCTGACATTCTGATTCATAATTTTTAGGTATTC